TAGTCCATTTTAGGTCTATAAGAGTATGAGAAATTTGCTTTTTTCCTGCCAGCTATGTGAAAAATAGTTAAGGGCGAGTTTGGACTGTTGCTTCAGGAAAAAATTTTATAAGCATAATTAACCCAAACAGGAATTTTTTATATGAATATGCTTTCTGTTCTCTAATCTGCTTTTAATGTGAAAAAAAGAAGTAGAACCCTTTTTCATATAATAGGAGCTATTGCAACAAATTCTACCAATATAGTAATGAAAAGTTTAAATGCTGAGGCATCGTAAGTCCTTCTTCCACCCCCCAAAAATAATTGGCTTGGGTAATTTTTTTGTTGTTGTTGTTGAGATGGAGTCTTGCTCTGTCACCCAGGCTGGAGTGCCGTGGCACGATCTCAGCTCACTGGTATCTCCGCCTCCCGGGTTCCCGCCATTCTCCTGCCTCAGCCTCCCGAGTAGCTGGGACTACAGGCGCCCGCCACCACACCCGGCTAATTTTTTGTATTTTCAGTAGAGACAGGATTTCACTATGTTAGCCAGGATGGTCTCGAACTCCTGACCTCGTGATCCACCCGCCTCAGCCTCCCAAAGTGCTGTGATTATAGGCGTGAACCACCGCGCCCGGCCTGGCTTGGGTAATTTTAAATGTCTAAACACTGTGCTTTGCTGAGCTTAAAATTGTCCATTTTCAGTAAATGCCGTATCTACCTAGAAATAGAAAAATATTGTATGTCTCCTGAATTATTACTGTTAACTCTTTTAGAGTAAACAGCTAATGAAGGGAACACTGGAAAACTTTACACGAACGTAAGCTAATAGTTGACATGCATGAATGATAACTTTAAAAATCTATATGTCAGATTGCATAGGCAGGATAAGCACCTGCCACCAGATGCTGGGGAAACCCTGACTGAAGGAACTTGTGTGTAGGTGTCCCTATGAGGACTTTTAGATGTGTATGATTAGATTAGGCAGAAGGAAGGGAGTTTTCTGTCTGTCCACGCTGCTAGCAGGGATGAAGAGACCCCTCACTAGCCTCTGAGTTCATAACCTATGTTTTGTCAACCCCACAAACATCAGGTTTTAATGCAGTACGTTGTGGAAAGCACATACCATCCGGTCAGTGACTGTCACCTTTATACAGATAGGTTGAGATTTGGAGTTGAAGAGGTGAGCACTGGGGAAACATGAGTCAGCAGAGATCTTTGGTGTCTTTGTGGCTCTCTGAGCAATACCACCCTCTTATGTGATACTTCTCCCGTCCCCCAGAGCACCAGAGCAGGTGCACACCCACCACAGCAGCGCCCTCATGGTAGATTTTAATAAATATATTTCATGAGTGAGTGAGTAGGTTAATGAGTATACACAAAAGTAGACAACATTCGTTTCCAAATTCTGTGTTTAGTTTGTGTTTCATGGAACCCAAGGCAATCTCCCTCAGTAGGTCTCCTCTCTAACTGGATTTTATTAATGTGAAAAGCCAGCATATTGCGGAAATGTGTGGCTTGTTTGACCTAGAACGGATGTGTCCTGAGCTGCTAGTATGTGGTGATGGTTAGTCCATGTCTGAATGGGTAGGTTTTTTTTCTCAAAATTGTTTTTGGTCTTGGGATATGGAGGACTGTTTGCCTAAGTGACTTGAGCCTGAGAAATGGGCATCTTCCTCTTTAACCAACTACTTTCTTTAAGAAGATGATGCATGACTTCATTGCACTAGTTTTAAATTTTATTAAATTGAGGTTTCTGAGTAGAAAGAACAAAGAGAGCCAACAGTGTTATCCAGCTGTTTTCCAGATGAGCCAATATCTTTGGTTCTGGCCTTTGTTTTCCTGATGGAGGTCCCCATTTCATTAGAATGAGTCCCAGTAAGGCTGGATCACAGCTGACGGTGGTAATTATCTTGTTGAGAGAAATCGGAATCCATGTAGAAGTTAACATTTAATTTTAAGATTTCTGATTAAATTGATCCTTTGAAATCAGAGCGTGTTCTGTTAATAGGTACAATAAACAAAATAATTTATACTTTTGTATAAAAGCTTTATTATCAAAACAGTAACATGCTGATAAACGAGGGTAAGGGCAAAGTTTGGCTGATATTATGCTAATTTCACGTAAGTAATGAATCCTGCAGGATTTAAGGGAAACCCCTGGCTTTTCAGTACTGTGAAGTACCTGTTGGTGAGCCTTGGGGCTTTGAGCATCGTTGGAGATTCTTGCATCGTCTCTGATCTGCAGCTGAGCCAGGAGTGGGGAGAGAGTGGGAAGCATGTGGAAACTAGGTCATCGGCTGGCTGCCGTGTGGTCACACTTCATCCTTAGGGAGCACAGTATATGGAGCGGAAGATTGAGCGCACAGCGCGCATTTCCAGCTCCACAGAGAGGACAGTCTGTTTGCTCATTTGCTCTCATTTTAAAATTTGAAGACACGTACTCTTAGACGAATACATAGTGTGTTCTTTCCTCCTTAATCATAAAGCTATTCTGAGTAATCACTAACAAACCCCGTGTAATGTTTAGATTCCTGTGTAATTTCCCCAAGGAAAAATTCTACATAGACTATTTCCTTGATAGCTAAGTAGTACATAAAAAATGTATGTCCTCGAATTTCACTTTAACTGTCTTTTAAAAGTAATTTTGTTTACTTCTTATATTTAACTTTTGAAGAGGTAATATATTTATCCCATGGTTAAAAAGTATAAAAAATACTTCAGGATACTTTTTAGCTATCTGATTCCTATTACCTTCTCTTCAAAAGTAAACAATGTTAGTACAATTACATGTATTCTGTGATATTTTTGTTACGGATTTATGATCAAAAAGCAAGAATCTTGAATATTTCTCCAAAATATTAATATAAAAGATTCACCTGTCAGATTTTGTAAATAATTTTAAACTGACAGTTTTAAAGCTCTGAAATTGTGTTTAAAATAACATCATTAGCACAGAAATTCTAGAAAGAGAGCCAAATGTTATTCAGGACTCAGAAAATGATAAAGCAGTTATCAATAAATGAATTTTTAAGTAAGTTTTAGTAGGACATATACAAATGATATCAGGAGAATGAACTTGTGTCTATATTTGTTGCAGTAAATTCTAGATAGTAAAGGATCTAAAAATGTTTGTTTATAAAATTGTATTAACACATAGATGTTTATATGTGGGTTTGTTAAAATGAGTTATCAGATAGATAATGGGCTTATATGTATTAAAGCAAGATATTATTACATTTGTTGCATATTTATTTTTATATATATCATGTATTACATCACCACCTAATCCACTTTCCAAAATGTGTGGGAACAGCAGAGGCTTGGCATTAGAGGCCTGGGTTCTGACTTTGAATCTGGATTCCCATAGGAGTTGTTTACACCCAGGGAAGACCATTCACACTTGTGAGCCCCCTCGTCCCCCCTGGGGTCATTGGGAGGATGAAAAGAGAGGGAAAGTGAGAACACGCTGTGATCAGTGAAACACTGTGGGATTATTATTACCTGTTACGTGACAATTTCTAAAAACATCTAGGAAATGACATAAAGAATACTAATCTCATGGTCAAATATTTAGATTCTTTTTTCATCAATAAGTGACTAGTAATTTGTTCGCCCTTCAGGACTGTAATATATTAACTTGGCTATTTTCTGCATCTGTGGAAGTGACAATTATTCATAAGCTACTATTAATTGCTAATAATAAAGAGTAATGGATAAATACTTCCTCTCATCAAGTATTACAAAGACACAGTGAAATAATGGATATTTTAGTCATTTTAGAACAGAGAATTATCAATATTAATACAAATATGAGTTATTTAACCATGTAATGCAGCCATAGAAAATAAGAGCCTTTTTTCCTGCTTTTAACTTAGAGTTTATTTAATATATTTAGCCATTTGTTCTTAGAACATGAGTACTGATGTTTTTTTATTTTTCTTTAAGCAATCACTGTAATAGTTTGCCTCTTCCCAAAAAATTAGAGAAAATAATTACTAAATTTCTTTACAAGTTGTCTTAGATTTATTACCACAAAATGTGGATGCCATAATGAAAGACTGTTAGAATAAGGAAACTTTTTTTTTTTTTTAGTTTCTTTTGTCTTTTTTTCCAAATTTACATTTGTTTGGATTACTTGGCTTGTTTATTTCAAGAAGCTAAGCAATTCATTTCTTATTTTTCCAATTCTGTTTGATATTCAGAATGACTGACACATTTGAAATGGTTCCAAGACTGAACAGTTTTTTATGTAAAACAGGGTAATTCCCAGGGCACTATAGCGCAGGAAGGGAATAATCACTTAGCGTGGCATTTGGGTTGGATTTGGAGTGTTAGCATGCGCTTTAAAAAAAAACTGTGGGAGCCATTATCACTACTTGGGAAAAAAGACCGACAAAGCTTGTATTTGGCAGAAAATGGAATAGTATAGTCAAGAGTATAGTACTCGTAGCAGTGAACTTGAAGAGGCAAAATCTGAGTGTTTTCAATGTATGTTATGATTTATTAGAGATTAGAAAATGACTCATCTGCAGTATAAATCTGTGTAATGACTAGGCCATCATCAGGGAAAAGATGAGGGATCTGTAGAAAATGTATGGGAGGAGAGAAAGGCATTTAATTAAATGTCCAGTGATTTGTGTGTTTCTTTTGGCATATGAGATCAGAAAAGTCAGGCTTCTCGTCAGCCAAGGTTTCGCTACCAGTTTAACTGGAAAATGAGAAGCTAGGAGAACAGAGTCATTTTGCACACAGTTTTTGTGTTTCTGGGTTGCCAAATCTATTTACGTCGTGTTCCTAATTCTCTGTTCCGCATAAATCTTTTAAAGTCATAACTGGCGGCCACTGTGTTCGTGAATTCCAACCATCTAGATCTCCAATTCATTCCACCTCTCATCCGTATGCATTCCTTACAGGAACATAAATGCGTTTCCATGGCTTATCTGGTTGTTTTTGAACCCATGTGGTGGTGATTTTAAAAATTAACCCCACCTGCCTTTGTATCTATGTTAATTCCTTTTGCAGTTGAAAAGAGCAGGCAGAAGAATCCCCGAAGCTTATGTATCCAGACGCAGACGGCTCCCGATGCACTGCCCTCTGAGAAAACACGTGAATTGGCGCAATATAAAACAAAATGTGAAAACCAAAGTGGATTTATCCTGCAGCTCAAGCAGCTTCTTGCCTGTGGTAATACCAAGTTTGAGGCGTTGACAGTTGTGATTCAGCACCTGCTGTCTGAGGTAAGGATGTGCATCCTAGAAAGAGCCTTTCTCCTCGAGGTCGGGGGAGCATGGGGAGGACTTGCTCATGCGCTCGCCCTGGGAATAGCTAGGTAAATGATGGGAAAGATCAGGTGTGATTCATCACATTACATTTTTGTCAGTTCACCAGATAACCTGAGTTGGTCGCTAGAACCTTGGCATGGAAACATTTTCTCGCTTCCTTTTTTTACCCCTAGAGTCTGTTGGTTAGAATGGCAACAGCAAGAACATAATTTCCTGTTACACCGCTGTGTGCCTCTAGACCTTAAACTAGCATTAGCATTTTTTTCACTTAATTTTTCTGTTTGTCTATGTGTAGCTTTTCATATCACACTTAGTTTAATGCTTTGAAAAATGAGGTTTGTTATATTTATGGATTCAAGAGCACTTTTCAGAAAGAATCCCCAGGTATGATTCTGGGAGTTAACTCACTTTTGAGTTAACTCCCAGAATCATACCTGGGGATTCTTTCTGAAAGTTCCATTTATTCCTAAATAGTCCCTGTGGTGCAGCAAAAGCAAAGCAGGTTTGTGGTGTTGTTACTCTTCCCTGATATTCTTCAGGGATGTTACTTCACGAACTGGCTGAAATTCATTGAGAAAACCAAGTTTATATCAACATGTTACTGACATAGCAATAAAAGCTGTATTATTTCAGGGGGAAACTGATCAGAGAATATAACTTGAGCTCCTTAGTTTTTAATCACAGTTTTCAAGACGGATATACATGATAACACAAAGGAAAAGGAAGAAACAAACACAAAAACTGGCCACGTACTGTGGCTCATGCCTGGAGTCCCAGCATTTTGGGAAGACGAGGACGGAGGATCGCTTGTGGCCAGGAGTTCAAGACCAGCCTAAGCAACATAGGGAAAACATAAAAATTAAAAGCAAAAAGAAAACTCTTCAGTTTGGCTGTTCTATAGTTTCGTTCAGATCAACAAATCTGTCCTGGTTTCATACAGAGGCCCCTGTGATATGGCTGCCTGTTTAGGAAGCAGGGAGAGAGAGAAGTGGATGAGACTTGGTCTGTGCCTTGGAGAAACTATCAGACTAGTAGACAGTTTCAATGAATTCTTTTTTTTTTTTTTTTGAGGGAATCTCGCTCTGTCCCCCAGGCTGGAGTGCAGTGGCGCGATCTCGGCTCACTACAACTTCCGCCTCCCGGGTTCACGCCATTCTCCTGCCTCAGCCTCCTGAGTAGCTGGGACTACAGGTGCCCGCCACCACGCCCAGCTTATTTTTTGTATTTTTGGTAGAGACAGGATTTCGCTGTGTTAGCCAGGGTGATCTTGAGCTCCTGACCTCATGACATGCGCACCTCGGCCTCCCAAAGTCCTGGGATTACAGACATGCGCCACCACAATTGGCCTCAGTGAATTCTTGATGAGTATTTTACAGCTTTCTCCAGATGTTTTTTTGTTTTTGTTTTTGTTTTTGAGGGGAAGATGGGGACTACTTAGATTTTTAGTTATGGTAGTAGTATATGGTATTTTTGTTTGTCTTTCGTTTGTAAGAAAGGAACTCGAGTGTGTTTATATAACCAAGTAAGCTAACTAGAAACTGTATACTATCAAATGTGGGGAACAATTAGTTTTTATATTTAGAAGTAAACCAATTATTTTACTATGTCCAGCCTAATAGTTCCCATGCTCAACTATTTTCTCTCCTTTATCCTCCTTATGATGTCAGTCAAGTCCCGTGAACTCTCATTCCACAGTGTTTCTCCCCATTCTATGTCTTCGCGATCCCCACTCATGCCCTCCTTGCTCACACCCTGGATAGCTGTCCACTAGATTATAATAGCAAGTTTGTTTTTTTGTTTTTGTTTTTTATTGGTATGGAGTCTCGCTCTTTGGCCCAGGCTGGAATGCAATGGCGTGATCTGGGCTCACTGCAACCTCCGCTTCCCGGGTTCAAACGATTCTCCTTCCTCAGTCTCCTGAATAGCGGGGATTACAGGCACCCGCCACCATGCCCAGCTAGTTTTTGTATTTTTTTAGTAGTGATGGGGTTTCGCCATGTGGGCCAGGCTGGTCTTGAACTCCTGACCTCAGGTGATCCGCTCACCTCGGCCTCCCAAAGTTCTGGGATTACAGGCGTGAGTCACCATGCCCAACCTGTGATAGCAACTTTTTAACCAATCATTAGGCTTGCACTGTTTCTCCCCCATAATCCATCCCAAGCACTGCTGACAGCTTCCTCTTACGAAAGCATCCCATGCTGCTGATTAAATCTTCCAGTGGTTCTCCCTTATCTATAGCTCATCTGTCCAGTGTGGTAGCCACTAGCCGTATGAGACTGAGCATTCGAAATGTAATCCATTGAAATGAGATGTGTGGTACGTGTAAAATACACTTGGATTCCAAAAACTTAGAATGAAAACAAAGGATGTAAACTATCTCATTAACAACTTTTATACTGAATATATTGAAATATTATTTTGTATATATTTGAGTTAAAATATGAAAATTAGCTTCATCTTTTTCAACTTTTTTCAATCTGGCTACTAGGAAATTTATACTTATGTAACTCACATTGTTATTTTGTTTTGGGGAGACTCTGGTCTTTAACTGGGACTATAAGGCTTTTTATCATTTGGTAACTACTGCCCCTTTTAATGTTATTCTCATGCCCAGATGCTGTAGCCATACATAAAGAGATGGAGGAAAAGCAAGAGGGATTTGTTGAATACTAGGTCGGTGCAAAACTAATTGAGGTTTTGCCATCGTGCCAAAAGCCGCAATTACTTTTGCACCAACCTAATATTTACTAAGTGCCAGATACTCTTACTTACCTTATTTAAATCCTCACCAAAGACACGAGTTGGAAGTTATAAATAAGAAAATTGAGGAATAGAGTTAAGTAATTTACCTGCTATCAGACAGCTAGCAAGAGGAGAACCAGGACATAAACCTAGGTCTAGGACACTGTCAACTAAAAATGCCCTATAAACTTCCTATACTTCATCCTTTGTTCACGTATCGTTACTGGGCTGCTGTCCTTGCCCCCAATACCTACATGTTCAGATCGGTTTTACAGCAGCATCACATCACCACTTGCATTTAATTTACATAGATCAGTATACAAACAACTAAAATAAGAAAAATGCAGGCCAGGCACAGTGGCTCACGCCTGTAATCCCAGCACTTTGGGAGGCCAAGGCATGTGGATCACCTGAGGTCAGAAGTTCAAGACCAGCCTGACCAATATGGTGAAACCCCATCTCTACTAAAACTACGAAAATTAGCCGTGCATGGTGACATGTGCCTGTAGTCCCAGGTACTCGGGAGGCTGCGGTAGAAGAATCGCTTTACTTTGAGAGGTGGAGGTTGCCGTGAGCCAAGATCGCGACACTGCACTCCAGCCTGGCGACAAAGCGAGATTCCATCTTTTTTTTTTTTAAAAAAAGCAGCAAATTAAATGAAGAACACAGGTCCACCTTGTATCCCCTCCGCCCCTAATGAACAAAGGCCCAGGAGTTAATTTGAGATGAAAGTCAGGAGTCCACCCTTCCTTCAGGTGTCTGCTCAGTCCCTGAACACGTCTTGTGGCGTGAGCATTCTATACTCTCCGCGATCTTAGTGTTTAAAGACACTGTTCCCTCATACAACCTGGCCTCCCCTCTAAACACAAGCCGAGGCCTTTATCAGGTGCCTAGTTAGAGAGAGAGTGAATCCAACACTAGAGGAAAAAAAATTCACCGGGTTGGATCTACAGAGAGATACATTATCCACAACATGGCAAGCTCCTAGTGACTTTCCCAGACACTCGTACTGTGTGTGAATTTCACCTTATACCTAAATTCAGGTCCTGAAACCCAAGGAATTGTGACTGCACTGAATATAACTCCAGACCCTGCTTTTTTGTTGTTTTTTTTTGTTTTTGTTTTTGTTTTGTTTTGTTTTTTGAAGACAGTGGCTTGCTCTGTCACCCAGGCTGGAGTGCAGTGGCACAATCTCAGCTCACTGCAACCTCCACCACCCGGGTTCAAGCAGTTCTCCTGACTCAGTCTCCTGAGTAGTTGGGATTACAGTACCTACCAGCATACCCGGATAATTTTTGTGGTTTTAGTAGAGATGAGGTTTGACCATGTTGGCCAGGCTGGTCTTAAACTCCTCACCTCAAGTGACCCACCTGCCTCGGCCTCTCAAACACCTGCTGGGATTACAGTCATGAGCCACCATGCTCAGTCCAGAACCTACTCTTTAGTGAATGATTTCCTGGCCTTCTAGATCTGTGTTCTGTCCATCTCTGGATTCCCGGAGCACATATGCTTCTCTTTCATTCTCTGCATTATATTAGAGATACCGGTTTAATGCTTGTTTTTGCTTTTTAAGATAGGAAATTTACTGAGGGCAGGATCTACCTCTAGTTCTTTATTACGAAAGCATCCCAGGAGCTTTAATAGCCAATACGGTGTATATGTGAGTGAATATGTGAACAGAGAGGATGGAATTCCCAATGTAGGATGAGCATAAAGTCTTATGTAAATATTCTTTGTTCTCTTTATTTTATAATCAGCAAATATTCACTGATTGTGTAGTGTGTACTACTATTATAAAACAGTTGGAGGCTAGGTGTGGTGGTTCACACCTGTAATCTCAACACTTTGGGAGGCTGAGGTGGGCTTACCACTTGAGGTCCGGAGTTCGAGAGCAGCCTGGGCAACATGGTGAAACCCGGTCTTTACCAAGAAATACAAAAATTAGCCAGGCACGGTGGCACGTGCCTGTAGTCCCAGCTACTCGAGAGGCTGAGGCACAAGAATCGCTTAACCCAAGAGGCGGAGGTTGCAGTGAGCGAAGATGGTGCCATTGCACTCCAGCCTGGGTGATAGAGTAAGACCTTGTCTCAAAAAAATAATAATAATTATATATATATATATATATATATATAAAAAATAAAAATTGTTGGAGAGCAAAAATCTTGGGCAAAATTAAACAATTTTAAAAACTCTGTTAACCTTTTACTTCCCATTCCCATTACAGAAATACATATACTGTGTTTATACACAGCCACACACACGTATGTAAAATACATATAGATACACATTGTATACATATATAATGTGTATGGATTTTGCATACATGATATACCTATACATTGTATGTCTATGTATTTTTGTATATGTATAATATATAGGTATTGTGTGTGTGTGTATATATATTTTGTTATTGCTAATCTTTTCTAAATGGCATTAAAGCCTTAGATTTTAGGTGAAAATGGTTGATTAAGAGAATCTTGCAACTATCGCACTTTTGTTGCAAGTCTACTTAATAACTCTAAGTTTCCCACTGTAGTAGCAGACGTATTTCATTACATATCAGACATTCTGATGTCTCATGAATTGGAGAACTAATGTCACACTCTCTGTTCCTCAAAAGACACACTAACGTTACTTTAATTTTTTTTCTAATTCTTGGTTTATCCTTGCTTAGACAGTATTCTGCGCAGACAGCCAAAGTGAACAACAGTAGTGATGGTAGTAGTTAAGCTTCTTCGTGAAAGGGTCTCTAGGTTTCTAGGTAAACTTGAACTGGTCACCCTCCCCAAACCTCTCATTCTTCAAAATGCCTCCAAATCTTTTTTTTTTTTTTTTTTGCAAGTGGAATTTTACCTAAAGTAGCACCTAAACAAAGTTGAATTTTGAATGACACTAGCAGTAAAGTTGTCTCGGAACAAAAAAACGTAGATGCATTGAGCAAATTCACGGTGTGGGTGATGGGGAGGAGGTCAGATGCAGCACACGTCTGAGCCATCTAATGTGGCTTTTCTCTGCAAGATCCTGTGGGCTGTTGATGCTACTCAGTGGCTAGCAAAAATGCAGGCACACTGATGGGACGACAGCCAGAGACTAAGTGCCTGTGTCCCAGGGACTCCTAATTCAATTATGGTGAATCCATTTTTTTTTTCTTGGAACATTTCGTATATTTAATGCATGAGCATAAAGGCATCTTTATGTCCAGATTTCCACTTTTCTCTTTTTTTCACATTGTGTGAAATTCTGCATGTTACAATACAAAGAGAATTGAATCAACCTGTTATCTGGACGGTTAAGAGTTTATTCTCTAAGACAGAAACACTGATCTAGGAGCAGCTGAGTAAAAAGAAACAGTAAATCAGTATCTAAGGGACATAGAATGCATTTTATCATCTACAAGTAAAGGGTAAGTACATGTAAAGGCCAAGCTATCAGGGAGAGTCAGGCAGAAACTAACATGTAGTATGTGTCTGTTACAGTATGGGCACGGGGGTCAGCATTTCACCTACGGATTGTATATAAAGCTCTTGGTTTTCTTCATTACTGCTTCCCATCCGATGAGGTCATCTGCCTTGATCAATGACCAAAAGAACTGAGCCTGGATGTTCTAGCTCTAGGTAGGCACCATGCTTCTTGAAGGCAGGGACCATGTCTTAAATTTCTTTTATATTTTCACAGCATCTGCTATGAAAAATGCTAGATTAATTAGTTTGAAGTATTAAGTTACCAACCGATTTAGAAGGGTAAATGGTCTTTCTATTGATTTGGGGGAGGGGGATATTGTCTATGATATTTAGCATTCCTAGAAGGTTTATATAATGAGTCAGTAAAGAAAGGCCTGCATTCCAGAGAAGGTGGTGTTGACAAGCATGTGGAGGTGAGATATGCGTGGTCCGGGTGACTTGCACAGGAGAGAGGCTGGGAGGCTAAAGTGGAGGCTGGATGCTTCAAGTCCACAGAACTATGGTGAAGTAGTTTTTTTATTTGTTTCGAATGCACTCAACGAGGCTTGTTGTGAGCAAGGGAGTTTATATATACAAAGAATATGGACAAATAATCTAACAGCCCTCTGAAAGGTGAAGGGATACTTCTGATAGTCCAGGAATGAGCTAGGATCAGGACTAGTGTGGAGATAGCACTAAAAGAAAAAGTGCAATGGATTCAAGACACATTACAAGGGAAGAACTGACTGACTTTTGCACAACCCATTTAGACAAAGAGTGAAAGATGACCTCAAGGTTTTCCTGTTGCTGTTACTGTGCCTGACAGAGGTTGGAAAATGTCAGTAGTTTCTGAGGCATTAAGGACAGGACCGTGGAGTGCAGTGGAGTTGAAGTTTGGGGAAATGTCGACGTGCTTGGTGAAACTCACTTTCCCAAAACCCCCTTTAATAAGTAAAAAACCATCTGGTGTATTTTTGCAACAGAACATAATGTTTTCACAAAATTTTTCTTTGAAATTATACTAACTGTAATTTTTAATTCTTTTCATCTTCCCATAGTTTCCATAAATTTGAAAAATGATTTAATTTTCTTGCCATCTCTTCCTTCTGTTAGCAACTTGGCTAGTACTGAAAAGTGAACTTTAAGCAAGTTCACCAAATGAGTTTCAGGATTGCTTGTGGGGAGTTAGTAAAGCTGTCTAGTTTTTCCTGTTACTTGAGTGGCAAAGCTTCCTGGTATTTACTTGAAGTAAATTACTAAACAAAATTAAGTCTTAATTTCTGACATGAGGAGAAGTATATATGATACATATTTTTATGTTTTTCTTCCATTATTATGCAGGCTGATTTTCCTCACTTAAATTTCTGCATTAGAAAACCAATTACTTGTTAATTTAAAAAACTCAGACTCATTGGTGATTTCAGAACAACTTAATACCGTATTTTAAAAAAACCAAACATTTAGAATACCATTGAGGCCAGAAGGTACTCAGTGAAAAGTGTCTCTTAAATCCCAGTCCCTGCTGACCACGCTTCAGTGCTGGCGTTTAGACTTGATGTCCTGAGCTGTTACTGAGAGGTGAGAACGAAGTAAAAGTTAAAAATATATGGGATCTCCAACTCTGCAGTCAGCACTTCGGACTTATTCTGAAACACCGCTCATTTCATAATGCCATTTAAAATTCTAAACGACAGCACGCCCCTTTCCTTGCTCTTCACCTAGTTCATAACCTCATTTAGTATACGCGTTCTGAAGAACAAGTTTCCCTTTTCTATTAGTAAGTGTCATCATCTAATGACCCCAATTAGAGAGGGGAGGAAAAAGGCTCACAAGTCTAAAAATAACTCCATTATCCATGCAGAGGGGGTCAGTGTTTCTTTCCCCCGTTGCAGCTGATATTTAACTAAATGGCAATCGATCAGTCTAATGCCTGCCTCTCGTTTTTCATAAATGAAAGGCTGTGGCTTTAAGTAATCGCAGGCTGCCTGTGCCAAAGGCAGAAGCTGCAGTATCAGCTTCTGTGAGTGAGGAATCCGAGGCGCACGGTAACCTGCAGGACATGAAGTAAGACGCCCGAGGGCCAATGGCACGCCTCCTGCTAGAGCTTTGAATGTAGACAGACCCGACTGGTGGGTGGCGCGGCCACCTGTATGCTTCTTGGACGGTGCGAGGGGTGGGGGGACTTGGAGACAGAAGCTGGAAAATGGGCTGCCCGAGCAGCAAAATGTGCCTCTATTCTCCATGTGCAGCACCAAGGGTAATTAGTATTTGTTTATAGTGCTTTTCTGGAAGAATGTCAGGACTACTGCAGAGGCTGTCTGGAATTCGGGGAAAATGCTTGGAATGACAAGCAACTCTTGCCTGCAAAGGCCGGGTCTCATGATCTCTGCAACGCTGTGATCAGGATGCGGTGGGAGCTCCGTCTTGGGTGATCCTCGTGAGGGCTTTTTTCAGTGAGCTTTGAAATTCTTCATTTTTTTTTTTAGTTACTCCCTGGTGCTAGGGAATCTACCTTTTAAGGAACTGTATGTAATTACTGTATTTGTGTAAGTATGTGTGTATGTGTGATTGCCGTGAGTTGCTGGTAACTTGAAAATGATTCTTTAGCTCAAGGTTGATAATTGCTTCTCTAATACTAAAAACAGCCATCTGGTTTTCTTTGGTTTGTTTCTCTAACATCGATTTAGAATTATCACTGATCCAAAATATCGTAATCCTTAGAAAATGGTATGTAGCTGAAAAACATTCCTTTAATTTTGTCTTTAAACGATTATCTTTCTGCTGCAGCTTTCTAACAAACTTTTTATCTTTCTTTTAGAAGGATTGGCATTGTAACGAAACTTTTTTATTTGCAAATATAGGACAAAGTGCATATATGTGCCTGTGTTCAGAACATTAAATATTTATCTTAAACTGATTAGATGTTTATTGCCCTTGGAGGAGGAGAACGCATTACGTCTTAAGTACAGTATGCATTAGCCGAAAGGTTCTATGGATCAGCAGTGAAGCACTGTCTCAAAGTAAATATTTCTAAATGGGCCATTCACTGCCTCAAACCAAAGTTGCACTGGGACCTGCAAAAATACAGATTTTTGAGTTACGAATTTCCTTAACAACTAAGGGACGACTGTGTTTCTTTTAACAACACAAATTGTTAGTCTAAATGATTCATATCTTGGCTTCCCAATAGTGGGTCTCATTTTCCTAGTGATAACAAATGTGTACCTTACTGAAAGGGACCCTCTTGAAAACATGAGTAACTTGATGTGTGTTTTCCGCAGCGGGAGGAAGCGCTGAAACAACACAAAACCCTATCTCAAGAACTTGTTAACCTCCGGGGAGAGCTAGGTAAGAGCTTTTCGTTGTTGTTGTTGTTGTTGTTAAATTTTATGGGACAAGGGGAACGCTGGAAAATGTGGTTGTCCTGTCTGCATTGTGGCTGGAGTTGCATGCTGGGAGCTGTTGGCACTCCCTGTCTGGTATCTGGGCAAACACTTACTATCGACATTTCTTTTGAATCTTGGCAGCTTGACCTTCAGTTCACAGAATTCCTGGCACTGATCTGACTAAGCCTAGCAGAACTTCTGATGAGCAAAACATTTCTCTTACTGAAGAGAGGGACAGAATTACTTTGTAATTGTGTGAATTCCTGTTAAATAATGTTGTCGTTTTTTTTTTTTTCTGAACCACTTTTCATATGACAGTAGTGAAAGTTTCCCCTCTTGATAAACAGTAAATCCATTGTGCTTCCACGCGTTGGTTTGTGAGTAGTGAGGATGAAGTTGAAAGGATACTGTCCATTAGGGCAACCTGGCTGAAAAAGGAACATTCTGTGTTAATCTTACTATTTGGAGGGGGCTGATGGTGAACCACCTCTCCGCTCCACAGGAAGCCCCAGGTCTCAACACCTGCCACCCAGCCCTGCAGTTTCCAGGTTGCACTCTTACTTTAGTTCCAGTCTTTCCTGGAAGTCCTTAGGGTTCATGGAACAGACACGACACTGCCTTTGCTTTGCTTTGCTTTTCTCTTTTCTTTTTCTTTTTTTCTTTTTTTTTTTTTTTGAGACGGAGTCTTGCTCCGTCGGGAGTGCAACGGTGCGATCTCGGCTCACTGCAACCTCTGCCCCCCAGGTTCAAGCGATTCTTTTGCCTCAGCCTCCCGAGTAGCTGGGACTACAGGCGCACGCCACCGTGCCGAGCTCATTTTTGTATTTTTAGTAGAGATGGGGTTTCGCCATGTTGGCCAGGATGGTCTCGATCTCTTGACCTCGGCCTCCCAAAGTACTGGGATTACAGGTGTGAGCCACCGCGCCCAGCCGACACTGCCTTTTCTATGTCAACTCCTATCTTGGAGTGAACTGACCACTTTGGGGTGTCTCTTTCTGCCCTGGGCTCCTCAGACTAGAGAATCAGCTTCCTGCTTCAGCTTCAGCCAGATCTCGAGCTGATCATTCTAGGACTGATTTCCTTGCCCTTTGCGGTTTTCTGTGTGTGTTACAGTCTCCATCAAAATATGCCCAGGTATGTTGTATGAATAATGCAAGGTAACAACCAGAGAAGCAAATTGTGTTCACCCAACTCTAGGAGAAACTGCCCATTTTTCTTTTGGACAAGACCACACTGCCAACCTGATTTGCTGGATTTGAACACTTAATTCTCCCACCTTCACCAGAGCAGAAATCAGAGGGCAGTGAGTGTGGGGTCAGGACTTCCTCTGGGCTGGGTGTGGTAGCTGACACCTGTAATCCCAGCGCTTTGGGAGGCTGAGGTGGGAGGATCACTTGAGGCCAGTAGTTTGAGAGCAGCTTGAGCAATATAGCAAGACCCTGACTCTACAAAAAATAATTTAAAAATCAGCCAAGCATGGTGGTGTGTGCCTGTTGTCCCAGCTACTCGGGAGTCTGAGGTGGGAAGACTGCTTGAGCCCGGGACTTCGAGGCTGTAGTGAGCTGTCACTGTGCCACTGCACTCCAGCCTGGCCAGCAGAGCAAGACTCTGTAAAAGACTTTTCTACATTCCTGTTCCCTTTTCCCCTTCTAGTGGGAGGTGAGGCCAAATCCCTGACTAACCATCCAGACTCTTAATACCTAGCCAAGACATCAGTCCTGACTTTGTTTTAGGCTGTGCAAATGAAGGCCTCTTTATGGAAAAGTAATTTTAAGACAGATGGAAACTTCAGAGTCCCAAAGACTTGAGAGTTCTGGTGAAAGAGTTCAAGGAAACCCCAGCTGAGACACAGCCCAGCTCTCAGACTTTGCAGGCTTTGTGCCATGTTACTGGACAGTCACCCTTATGATTACCTAAATGACCAACCCAATTCGCTTTTGTCCATACCTTAAATAATGTAATTAACAGAGTTAGAAGATCAGGAAAGAGGCCTTTGTATGTGTGTGTTTCAGAGTTCATTATAACCCAGTAGAAGTGGAGGTGAGCCTACCTAGAGGTTCACGTTTCAGGCTCTCTCCCAATACAAGGCAGCAGTGAGAATGGAACACTGTGCCCATTCACGCTGCTTGAATGAAGGATGCTGTTTTTACATTTTAGTGGACAGAACAATTAATCAACTGCAATTGGGGCCCAGGGATTCAGCACGTCCAGTGAGTCAGGTAGCCTGACAGGAAATAGCCGTAACGGTGTGTGCCCACTGTCACCTTTGTGTCCGTGATAAGGAGGCTGCCCTGGTGCGCTGCTTCTGCTGCCTCCAGAGTGTTGGTACAGTGGGTGGCCTGTCCAGATCCTCAGTCACCCAGTGCTGGCCTCTCAGGGAATGTGTCACGGCTGCTGTTGCAGCAGGCATACCTCTGATGGTAGCCCTTCTCTGCTTGGAGAAGGGTTTTGGTTCTGTAAGTGGAGGGAAGCGAAAGCTGTAAACACTTGTGATGAAGCGGTCCAGGAAGAACACTCTCAGGGCTACCGGTGGGATTGTCAGTTTCAGTATGAGTTGAGACGGGTTTCCATAGTAAAGTTGGGAACCCAGTTTTGAATTTGGAGGCAGTCAAGTGGTTAGGCTCATGTTGTCACACTGTCCGGGGCCACATCTGTGGTCACTGAGTGACTTAGGACAAGTCGCTTTGTATCTCTTCCATCCCAATTTCATCCTCGGTGAAAATGGCGGTGCCGATCATCTGCCCCAAGGGTGGTTGTGAGGATTACATGAGGTAATGCATTGTGAAGCATCTAGAACCAAGTGTTAACTGCTAGTAAATAATAGGTATTAGGATGTATGCAGCTGGACAGCTGTGTAGTCATGAACTACAGGGCCCGTTTTGTGAGGGCATCATCTATGCCACAGAAAGGAATAGTCATTAGACTCAGTATTACCAGAAATCCCGAACGACAGGCTCTTCAGACTCAAGTGGAAATGAGACCTCATCAGCGTATTCTCCTGATCCAGTAGAGTTGGGTATGTGGAGTCAAAGCCTAAGTTTTTGTCCATCCGCTCCTAGTTGGGTGTTACCTAACTTCTTTGAGTATGGTTTTTTCACTGGTGATATGAAATCACTATGTATTTTGCTGGGTTATTGTGGGGCTGAATAAAATAGTAACACATGTAAAGCAGTGACGTAGTGCCTGGCCCATCACAGCAACTCAAGGAAAGAGAGCTGCCACTATCGCCGTCATCAAAGCACCCACTTTTCCCCTCCAAAATAATGGGGGTGGGGCGATGGGAGTTAGTGTCACTCTCCCATTGGGTAATTTTTCTTCACCTTCTCTATGAAAGTTGAGACAAGGTACCCAAACTATTAAGAACCGCAAAGAAAGAGGACAGCTGATAAACTCAGGGGCACTGAAACCCAGGTAGAATCTGTGCTTTCCACTTTCCCAATCTAGCAGCCTCCCGGTGTCCTCGCATCTGCTGACTTTCCCATTGTCCTCTCACTCTCAGCGTGCCAGCATCCAAAGCGGCCTGCGTGTTTCCACTGTCTGAGCCTCCCTCCCCTCATGGAAGCCCTGGTACTTTGCTTCTGCAGAAACTCTTACAAGTGCCCCCTTGGTCCAGTGATTCTTTGATACTCTACGTTGATATATTTATTGTCTATTGTGTTTTCTTGTTACCTTCAGGTATAAAGTCCATAATTGTAGAGATTCTTTTCTGTTTCCTATGGAAACATACTATAATATGCTTTGTATTTTCCTGGGTAATTGATAAATATTTTTAGGCATTTGAAGTTTTAAAGTTCTTTTCTTTTTTTAGAACAGTGTATGAAAATTAAAATTTTTAAGTGGAAAGAAAACAGCCCGTAGCTCCACTGCCCTGACGTAACTTTATATGCATATTCCCTTTTCTTAGTTTATATGAATATATACAACTTCATACTATGATTTTTTAAATTAAGGTATAATTTTCATACAGTGGAATGCTAATTATTCCATCAGTTTTGACAGACATGTACTCCTAAAACCTACATCCTTATCAAGCATGTACTGTTTCTGTCAATCCAGAAAATTCCCTCATGCCATTTCACAGTGGAACACCCCTCCCCCGAGACGCAAACACTGATTTAACCTTTATCATCAGAGGTTTTGTCTGAACTAGATTCTCATTTAAATGGAAAGATATAGTATGCTGTTTTTTGTCTCTGGCTTCTTTCATAATACTTTTGAGATTTGTGTATGTTAAATGCCTACTCCGATCTTTTTTTTTTTTTTTTTTTTTTGTAAGACAGGGTCTTGCTCTGTTGCCCAGGCTGGAGTGCAGTGGCACTGTCTCGGCTCACTGCATCCTCCATCTCCTGGATTCAAGCAATTCTCCTGCCTCAGCCTCCCAATTAGCTAGGATTACAGGTGCACATCACCATGCTGGGCTAATTTTTGTATTTTTAGTAGAGACAGAGTTTCACCATATTGGCCAGGCTCATCTCGAATGCTCGATTCAAGTGATCCACCCACCTCAGCCTCCCAAAGTGCTGGGATTACAGATGTGAGCCATTGCACCTGGTCAAATGTCTGCTGTGATCTTTTTAACTGGACAGGTCAAGCACTTTTCCACATTGCCTCACGGTCTTCATTGTGATCACCTTTAATGGGCTGGGGGAACGTCTATCAAGTGGCTGTCCCGTAAGTTCACTTACCCATTAAATAGTGTCATAGTATATAGCAAGGGTTTCATTGCCAGCTGTTTTCTCATCCATTCCCATGGTTTCCACTACTACCTATACAAGAATGACCAAGATTTATGTTTCTGGTCCTCTCCTTCCCAAGCTGCAGATGCTTCTCAGTGAGGTGCTGCCCCCAGGTGAGCCAGTCCAGTATCATCAGACCTTCCTGATGACCCAGCCCCTTCCTTCCTGAGCGCCATGCAGCGTCTCCTCATTCACCCCGGTTCCTCAGCTTTGATGATGGTGATAT